CTGATTTAAAATTGTAAGGACAGCACTCCTCACTAAGTTTGTTACCCAAGACAAGGGGTTGCTGGGGCAGCAAAATTGCTAGCATTCTTTTTCTTTTGGCTCAAGGACTGCTAGACCGTACTTTCACGTGGTTGTCTGGTGATGCCCTTTTCTTGTTGTTGTTTTAAAAAAGATATAACTCCATCATAGGCAAGGGGGAAGGGTTTCACTCATGGCACAACTCAGCAAACAACAAAACATTGTATGGGGCAACACGCTCATGCTTGCTTGGAACTATCGCTCGTTCAGGGGTATCCCAGCTCCAGCGTGTTGCCTGATAGGGCTGCAAAACTATGATCAAGTGAAGAAATGTAAGCAACTCTCCTTCCATCTTCAGCTGACTTGCTCTTTCCTTCTGGTATCAGCTCCCTTATATGGCAAATAAATTTGTCCACTCATAGCCCAAGCAACTCTTTTGTGTCCTAAAATGAACTGTCATTGCCTTTCAACTGCGTAAGCTTCTTATGGGCAGGAAATGCATGTCTTCACTTATTTAGTCCTTTGGAGTGCTTCTTATTTTTCTTGAGATGTGATGTTATACAGTTTGGCATACTAAATGAAACCATGTTCTATAGTCTGTGATGTGGGAAGTCTGGGGTTGTTTATGGAAGTCAACTCAAGGATAAAAGAGATACGTTATATTGTTTAATTGGGCTCCTTCTTTGTGCTGCTGATGCTCTCCCCATGACACCACCCAAAACTGGGCTTCACTCACAGATCTGCAGTATTGGAAGGCATCTTAAAAGCCTCTTAAGATTTAAGAGCAGCATTTAAAAGTATTTCATTTATAATAATTCATTACTGGCGGCGGAGTCCCTTAATGACACACGCATGTGGCACTGGCAGACGGTTGGCAACGATATATTTATTCCCCATGTCAAAATCTGGTCATTACTATTGCATCGAAGGTCTTCAAGTGTTTTGGGAAGGGGACATTTGGAATTCTGAATATGTGTTGTTAGTGCTCTCACAAATTGGTTGCTTTGGAGGGCTTGCCTGTTCACAAAACAGCTGCCTGCTGTGACTCAGCCAGTTACAAAACATCAGTTTACCAGAATTTTACCTGCTTGCCACTCCAGCCACCTCATGGAATCTCTGTTGGCCCTGCATACACAGAAGTGGCTTGTTGGACTCCTAAACCAGGGGTTCCCAACAGAGGTGGTGTTCAGCAGGTTCTGATCAGTTGTGGAGAACCGGTAACAGAAATTTTGAGTAGTTCGGAGAACCGGCAAATACCACCTCTGACTGGAAATTTTGCAGTGTCCTTCCCCTGCCACGCCCACCAAGCCACGCCCACAGAACCGGTAGTAAAAAAAATTGAATCCCACCACTGGTTCCCAACCCCCAGGCTGCGGCCCACTTCCGGGTCTTGAGCCTTTTGGAACTGGGCCATGGAAGTGGCATGTGTGCATGTGCATCCTTACTTGCACAAACAGCGAGTGCACGTGCACATTCCCCATTTGTGTGAGCGCATGTGCACATCTTGCCACTTGTGCAAATAGAGCTACATGCATGTGCACACATGCCCACTGTGTGCACGGAACCATTCCCTCTCCTACCCCCCGCTGGTCCCAAAAGACAAAAATGTTGGGGAACTCTGTCCTAAACAGATCACTTCACTTTTGTATTTCTGGAGTGCCAGTACAAAGAAGAGGATACAAGAGAAAAGAGAAAACATGAAAAGTCGAGATAGGTTTACACCATAATGAGATGTAAGCATGGAAAGGCTCTAAGAATACCTTTCTGGGTACTGAATGAGGATATAAAACAGGGGTTCTTAACCTTTTCTTCACCAGGGACCCCCCCCCCCCCCCATTTAAATATTTTTTGTGGCCACAGATTAGGTAGATATGTCTGGCTACAGGGTCATGCAACCTTGAATCTTAACTAAGATCCCTAAGTCTTAACTCAAGATTTAAATCATAATATTTCTTCATGGACTTCTTCTGGTGATATTGCCCCCCCTGCACCTCCCCGCCAGACAAGGATCTGCAGACTGCAGGTTGAGAACCACTGACATAAGACATTATGGTGGCAGGACATATAATACTGTGAAATGGGGTGGTGGGAGCAGACGTAATATCTTTGCTTTTGTGTTGCCTGTAATCATGCTCAGTAGATTCATGGTTGCCTGACCCTGTAGCCAGACATACCTACCTAATCTGGCAAATGAACTTGCATCTATTAATGAAGATGCAAGAGCAGTTTGTAAAACAAAATGTGGTTAGATTTCATGTTCTTTCACAGGCTAATCTATTGATGCCCTCTGCTGTTTGGAAGTCAATAACTTCATTCTTTCTGTAAACAATAAAGATTGTAAGCGGTTTCCAGTACAAAAAAGGGAGGGAAAAAAGAGACAAAAGAACTGGCACATTATAGAAGAACATCTCCCAAGGACCAAAAGGCCAAATGCAGTTGCCTCTGGAAATGATTGAAACTGAAATTTGGCTGGATTTGATGTTTACATGGCATCTGTGGAAAAAGAACACACTTCCCTGTCCCCTTTTGTTCTATAAGCATTCTGTAACATGGGGGTTCAATTAAGTGGATATGAGATTTCTCTTAGTTGAGGCCAACTTTCTTTTTTATTATTATTTATTTTAGCACTCAAATAGTTTTTCCACATAAAGGGGCCTCTGGGGATTGGATGAGCTAGTTGTGTTGGGGAAGAGGCCTTCTTGTTCTTCTAGAGAGCCCCTGTGCTAGGAAGGCAATAGGGAAATATTCTTTTAACTCAACTCCCCCCTCCCCCAAGAATTCCCTGAAATTCATAGTTAATGATGGCTTAGGAAAAAAACAGCAACCCTTATCAGTTGCTTCAAAATCAAAAACTCTAGTAAAAAATCTCAGTATTTAAATATTAATGCTAATAACAGATTTGGATTATTTGCTTATGACATGCATATGTTAGGGTTATTTATCAACTCTGACATGATGCAGGGAATAGGTGGCTAACAAATTCATATCAAAAACTAAGCCATTCTTATGATCCACAGCCTAGGGCGCTTGAGGTCTCTGGCTATAATGGAATTCAGGGCCTTCACACCACTGTTATTTTTTTATATATATGTTTCTTTATCTTAAGAATTAGTCTTTATGTTCTTCATCTTAAGAAGTAGTCATGGCTGGAAGATGTAGCAGGTTTGTTTGTTGCTTTTGAATGGTATCATGAAACAAACCAATATGAAAAAGAGGTTGCAGAGATGTTTTCTGAACATTGATCCAAAACAGCGTATTTTTTTTCATGTGAAATAATTATCTTGTGAGCAAGGTATGCTAGTAGTCAACAGGATATAATGCAAAGCTGAGAAAGATCAATGTTATATTTTCAAATGTTACAGCTATCAGGAGTTGTACAAAAATATTCACTGGACTTTTCCATCTTTTTACTGCTTACTAGAAGATCGGGTTGTACTTAGTGTATGTCCACATACTACCATAGATTTCACTGAATGATTTTGGAGCCATCACACACTCTCTTTCATCTTCTTCACATTCTGAAAATAAAAAGAAGGGAAGACTGAATGTAAGCCTCCTTGAATTCCATAGCATATAAATATAATCGTAATAGGTTTTGGTGGCTAGATGCAACACTTTTTGTGTGTGTGCAACTCAAAGATACAATAGGCAAGAGACCGACAGTGGTTTCCTCCAAACAGGTTGCAATTTCCCATTGGTTTTTATTCTACTTTTATTTTTGGTGTAACATTTTTTTTATAATTTATGTTTGCTTCTGTTTTCATGGTATATGAAGCACACAGAATGCTATTATTACTTGTACTACAATTACTACTATTATTTTTCAGCTATACATTGGGATGTTTTTGAAAGCTGTCAGTAAAATTTGGCAACAAAGGATTAAAAAAAATGGGGTTTAGGGTCTCATCAAAGCCCATAATTATAAATTGCCAAAGTCCTACCTTACAACAAAATCAAAACACCATCTTCAGTGCACATCATGACCATGAAAATAAACACAAACACACATCCTTCACACTCCACACATTGAATTGAAAAACCTGACACCGCACCAACACTGCATTACACAGTAGAATTCAACAGAGCTACTGCCCTGGGATAGAAGCTGTTTCTCAGCCTATTTGTCCTTGAAAGAAGGAGCAGCTAGCCATAGCATCCATGTGCGCAGCCATCTTGAAAAACATCAAGTGCTTATTGTCAAGCACTGTAGTTGCTTTCTTTAAAATTGTAAAAAAACAACCCTAAAATATATATAAAAAAATAAGTATTAAAGCTGCAGTATTCCTCCTTTTGCTCAGTAATGTTTTCTTATAATACTAGACCTCTGGCCTTGGCAGCTCATGTTGTCTAGTGAACAAATCCTCTGTAAGAGTACAGCCTTGATAAGAATTTTCAATCCTGGGCAGTTGCATGATGGGTTCTTACAGTGTGACCCACTCAATCTCTGTACATTTTGTATCCTTTCCCAAACACCTATTCTGAAATCTGCCTGAACGTTCAGTTACTTTACAGGGAGCAAATAATTACAGGGAGCAAATAATGTTTGGTGTATTTGGTTTATTTTGGTGTATCCGTGTTTGAGTCAGTTTGGTGTAGTGGTGAGCCAGGAGTGTAGAAACCAGGGGACGGTGAGAATTCTTGTCCCACCATTGGAATGAAAGCCAGCTCGGTTACTTTGGACCAGTCATTCCCTCTCAACTCAACCCACCTCACAGGATTGTTGTTATGGGTGAAAATGAGGAGGGGGAAGAATTATGTATGTTTGCCCCCCTGAATTACTTATTAAAGGTGGGATAAAAATCAAGTAAGTAAAGTAAGTAAGTAAGTAAGTAAGTAAGTAAGTAAGTAAGTAAGTAAGTAAGTGTGATTGCTGTTAGATGGTAAGAGGGAAGTACATCCAGTGTTCAGGTGAAATGTGTGTTATTTTGCTTTTTTCTGTGTTATGACTACTAATGTTGGGTCTCCTTTGTTTGCTCTTTTAGGCTGCCACACCTTGCATGCCTGCTGGCAATCATGAGCTGGTAAGTGTGTTTCCTTTTATTTTTCTTTGTCCCTTGCTTTTATCTACTGTATCTCATTTTTCTGCCCAGAAAATTGCATAAACCACTTAATTGTTGAGATGAAAGTAGGTAGGTGAAGTTTAGGAATTAGAAGAGACAACAACTTGTTGGAAAAGCATCTATATGCATGCAAACTCTGCTGCAAGTTTGGATGTTCTTTATTTTTAATGGATTCTTCTGAATGTTTCCAAAAATGCAATCAACGGAGAAAATATTAGGAAACCCCCAGCAACTGCACAGTTTGTACCAAAGAGTTGGTTGCATACAAACGAGATCTGCACACCTTTCCATTAAAACATGAAAACTAAAGAAAAGCAGGAATATTTGCAGAGATGTTTGTTTTCAGAGTTTAATTAATGCATATTTCACAGTTTGCATATTTACTGGTGTACACATATTTTCAATATGTGTAATGGGTGATAAGAAAGCACACTTTCCATTTATGCAGTAGGGTTTCTAATTGGTCTTCTCTGTCAACCTGCTGGATCCCTCATATGAGTTATACTTTTTGGTTCTGCAAACAGAATTACACCATTGAATTCAACTTGACATCTTGCTTGGCATCACATTAGGGTTGTGAAGATTGTCCAGCTGTTATTATGTTGGTGAAAATGCAATGACTTATTATGAATTGTTGAACTGTGCTATTCAAATATTGATCTAGATTTACTCCATGCCATTTTGGTATATTTGTGATGATGCTGGATGAGAAATCAGCAAATAGTGCATTCAAGTCCATCCTTAGATGTAGAAGTGCAGGAGATGATGCTGATGAGTGTGGTATACACAATGAAGCAACAAAATGCTAGGCAACTGCTATAGGCCCAGCAAGAAGCAATATTGTCTTTATTTACCCCATTCGCTCCTCCATGTCAGATATCTGAAACTCTGTCAAGATTTAGGTGATTCCTAAGACATTCTCTCATATTAAGGCTAAGAACTCACAATGGCTTAGAAGCCTAATATTAGAAAATGATGCCTTGAGATTTCCTGGGTGTTATAAATCTTGGTTGATGAGTTGGGATGAAGCCCATATAAAATCATCCCTATATTGGATATTCTCAAATACATAGGAAGCCATAAAAACAGCTTTCGAAGGACACCAAATCTTTAATAAGTAGATTGATAGTAGCAAAGGTAATGCTACAAAATTACAAAAAAATTTCCAGTGATTGCCCAATAAACTGCTCATGACTGCCCAGTATTTAATGTAATCACAACAATTGGAAATAAATTCAGACTTATTCCGTGTTATAGAATAATCAGGTAGGATGTGAAACTTATATATTAATGAAATGAGAAATGTCCTATTAGCATAAATTCTTATTTATTCTCATTTATGGAATAATCAGGATATGAAAGTCATGTATTAATGAAATAAGATTCGGAATAGAGAGTTTTGGTCTATCTGTAAAAGTTACCATGTGATCTATATATGGAATTTTATTCTCTGACACTCAAGTCTACTCACATTAATGTTTTCAGCATTTTTAATTGTCTAGACAAGACGTCCTTAAGCCATTTTTTTTAAAAAAATAAGACATCTTTGGTATGTAACTCATCATAAATTTCACAAGGAGAGGCATACCATTAATCTTAATTCCTGATTTAGGAACTGAGTAAATTATATGATTTAGGATCTGAGTAAATTATATTAATCCAAACAAAAACATTTTTAGGAAACTCCCAAAAAGTTAAGCATGTAAAAAAAAAAAACTATACAAAAATGTTTTTTCAACATTCAGGCCTGTAGCTGCTAGATCCTGTTTATTTTAAGTTAAAACAAGAACATCATAAAAAACCAGAAGCCTAACCCTGAATGCATCCTGGCTGAGCTGGGTACACAGCAGTTAGAAAAATAAACTGGTTCCAAATGCAGGTAGTCCTTGACTTATGACTACAATTGAGCCCAAAATTTCTGTTGTTAAGTGAGACATTTGTTAGATGAGTTTTGCCCTGTTTTACATCTTTTCTTGCTACAGTTGTTAAGCGAATCACTGCAGTTGATAAGTTAGTAGCCTGGTTGTTAAGTGAATCTGGCTTCCCCATTGACTTTGCTTGTCAGAAGGTTGCAAAAGGAGACATTGCAACCGTTGTAAATGTGAGCCAATTGCCTAGCAACTGAATTTTGGTCACATGATCATGAAGATGCTGTAACTATGAAAAATGGCCATAAGTCACTTTTTTCAGTGGCCATTGTAACTTTGAATGGTCACTAATCGAACTGTTGTAAGTTGAAAACTACCAGTAGCTGTTAAAATCTTTAGCATCCAATTGCTTAACGCAAGTGATAGGAAATTAGAATATATGGTAATATCCTTGTGTGGTTTAGTAATAATTATAATATTTGCCCCATTAAAACTAAAAAACAGGAATTTATTTGGGGGAAAAAAGTCACTCAGAAAAATAGGAGATTATAAGGCCCAATATACAATGTATCGAACAGGGATCCTACTGGCTTAACAACCGGTTTGGTAAGCACGCACTTTTGTGAGCTGTTCTTCAGAGCTACCGGTTCTATTGAACCGGGCCGAACCCGTAGAATAGCACCCCTGTACCAAATCAGAAAACTATCGATCAGGAGTTTCCCCAATTTCATAGATTTAACTGTAGGGACTGGTTCGTAAAGTAAGAAAATGAAGTGAGATTAGTAAGTTGGTCCTTGTGGTTATTTTTACTTTTTGTTAAAAGCAAATTGTCTTGCCATTTATTGCTGAAGAATGGGAATCTGCACACCATTTGCATCTCCAATAAATGGTACATTTATGTTTGCCTGAAGAATATGCTCCATTTGTCTCCCTTTTTCAATATTTCTGCTTTGTTTGATGCAGTGTAATAAAATTCTACTTTGGAAGCATAAAACAGTATTAAGTTCATCTTTAACAGAGACGAAACTGTAAGATATTGGTCAGGAAATGGGTAGGGTAATGAACTAATAATTCAATAACTTTACCTTTTAAGCTTGTTGCTTTACTTTATAAGCTGCATATGTGATCATTCAACCTCAGATAAATACTTTGGAGATGTTCTATATCAAAGACAATGATGTAACTGAATCACTGTTAATAAAAAAAATCTGCCATTTCCTGTTCTATCTGTTTAATAAAGTCTGTATTGTTCAGCAAAGATATATTCAAGGACCATGCAAAAAATGTATGTATTTTTAAAGCTTTTTAAAGAAATTGTAGTAGAATCACATGCTTTAAATTTAGATAAAATAGTGAGGATCACAAGAGCATGGATTGAAATTGTAGTAGAATCACATGCTTTAAGTTTAGATACAGAAGAATGAACTATCAGGAAATAATCTAACCAAAAAGAATTTCTTTTATATGGAAGAAAGTAAAGTATACTCCCTTTGGGGAAGATTTATACAACTCAAAATATTCATTCAGCTAAATTCAGACATGTAGTCTTGCAAAATATTATGAATCTGAGAATATAATTTAGGTAGTGAAATGTTAAGAAAGATTAAAAGTTTGATTCGAATAACTTCTATTATATGGCCTGCTGATTTAGTCTACAGATATTCAAAACAATTATGTGTTTGTGATTGGACCATAGAAATTCAGGTTTCCTAAATCTTGATATATGGCAATAAGTATTTAAAAATGAGTTATCTTTCTGATACTTTTTCAACAGACAATTTAGAAAATATATTAATTAAAATGACATTTCTTGAATGTTTAGAATTATCACTAATGTAAAAATTTTCCATCCAAGCATTCCATAAAAGGGAAATAGGGATGCCACAGAAAACCAAATCCAATTCTCCTCCTACCCCTTTACTTAAATTTGGTCAATACTTGTTTATGCTTAGCTGGACACCAAGTCCTTTAATATTCAAAACTGCTGTTAAATAGTTTTAAAAACCAACAATCAAGAAAAATGGCATGTTACTTTATCCAAGCATGCTGCATCTGGATTGTATCAAAAGACAAGCTACTGCTTCCCAAAATAAGAAAAATGCAAAATAATAATAAAAATAAATAATAAAATAAAAAATAAAATATCTAAATCCTATTTTTCAATAATCAAAAATGTTAGGATATTAGCTAACCAGATGATTAAATATAACAAAAACTATCAGGGAATAGGAAAAAAATTCTCCCAATTAGCCCATTAAAATATGTAGATTTTTAAAGAAGGTAAATTTAGGAGAGAAAAGGGAAAAGCAAAAAGCAAAAAGGAGAGGGAGGGGAAAAAAGGAGGAAAAGGAATACAGGTTGGTTAAAAAAAACCACTGCTGTTTGTAATATTTTCCTTTAGCCAAGGTCATATGAATATAAAAAGAACATGTAATTAAGAGACAGAGATAAGTTTAAAAGCTTAGATAGAAATAATTATAATAACAGGAAGAAACAAATAATCTTCCTTCTACAGTAACTTAAAAGGATAAGATTTTTTTTAATTTACACAGAATTACATATTGTTTTCTAAACGCCACTTGATAATAATTATAATTTTAAAAATTGGCTGGGTACCTGGTGAAATAGGGAAGATTCTTTTCTCATGCAATATTTCTCGTAGTGTTGAACATCTGTGTCATTGACCTTTAGTATAATCAGGGAAAATATAATGTGAAATTTATGATCTCTCCTTTCACTCAGTGGGATCTGCCCTTCTTGTAAAATGTCATTCCTGACAACAAATATAGGAAACTTCATAATGAATGGTTGAGGTTTACCAGTTATACAAAAAGGAGAAGCTGGAATGTCCTGAAGCCTCTCAATATCTAGCTGATAATCTTCAGATGTAGCTATTACTTCCTGTGTTAAAGGTTCCTTAAAAACACCAGCATACCTGTTACATGTGGGCAAAGACTTGGCTTCTACCTGCCTTTTTGAGGGGATGCCTTTGAGTCATTGTTGACTTTTGGTGACCTGAACAAGCTTCTGTGATTTTCTTGAGATTTTGGAAGTAGTTTGCTGACCCAAAGTCACTTAGCTGGCTTCATACCT